CCAGGACTCAGTGAAGAAAATTCCACAACTCTCACATAAGCGTCTGTCCAGGACTCAGTGAAGAAAATTCCACAACTCTCACATAAGCGTCTGTCTAGGACTCAGTGAAGAAAATTCCATAACTCTCACATACGCATCTGTCCAGGACTCATTTGAAGATGTTCCTCAGATTTTTGTTTAAGTTAAATTGGTAAAATACGAAAAGAAAATCTGGATTGAGTTTCAAATCATCTTAAATAGCAATCCTATGAACAATTATAACTGCAATTTCAAACACTAAGACTTAAATATATCACTTGATCATACAATTATCTGAAAACATATGATTAAAAACTTTGGTCAAGAGCTTCTTTCATGAATTCTTCAAGGACAGCTACCACATTTTTGGCTTCAGGCATTTCTTCATGTTCCACTTTAACAATCTTCAAAAGTATATCTCCGCTACCACAGTTCTTTAGGAACATGTAACATTTAAACAAAGCATAATGATTCATTTCCGCCTGTCGGATAAATCTCTTCAAATTGTTTGTGTCTTGTATGGCCTAGAAAAAGATTACCCAGTTAAAAATGTGTTAAGTGAAATAATAATGAAGCTAAAAAAAATAACTCCTATCCAGCTGAGAACTCAACATATCTTCCTGAATTGTTTGCTTCTCATATTACATATTTCCAAAATTTACAGTGCAGTATGCTTTGCCCTTGGTAGAAGAAAATCTCTCTGTTTTTTTCTTGTTTTGCTCTTGTTGCCCAGGCTGGAGTACAATGGCTCGATCTTGGAGTTTGTACTCCGCCTCCTGGGTTCAAGTGATTTTCCTGCCTCAGCCTCTGAAGTAGCTGGGACTACAGGTGTGCGCCACCACACCCGGCTAATTTTGTATTTTTAGTAGAGACAGGGTTTCACCATGTTGGCCAGGCTGGTCTCAAACTTCTGACCTCAAGTGATCCACCCGCCTCAGCCTCCCAAAGTGTTGGAATTACAGGCGTGAGCCACTACGCCCAGCTGAAAATCTCTTATACGAAGTAAAAATACTTTAAAATAATCTCCTGCCTAGCATGGTGGCTCATGGCTGTAATCCCAACACTTTGGGAGCCCCAGGCAAAAGGATTGCTTAAGGGCCGGTAGTTTGAGACTAGCCTGGGCAACACAGCGAGATTCCATCTCTACAAAAAATAAAATAATTAGCCGAGTGTGGTGGTGCACACCTGTAGTTTCAGCTACTCAGGAGGCTGAGACAGGAAGATTGCTTGAACCCAGGAGGTTAAGGCTGCAGTGAGCCATTATTGCACCACTGCACTCCAGCCTGAGTGAGAGAGTAATATTCTGTCTCTTTAAAACAAACAAAACTCCTAAATAAGGTGACAACAAGTCTCCATCAGAATTCTTTTTTTTTTTTTTTTTTTTAAACAAAGTCTCACTCTGTCACCCAGGCCAGAGTGCAGTGGCATAATCTGGGCTCATTGCAACCTCTGCCCCCTGGGTTCAAGCAATTTTCATGCCTCAGCCTCCTGACATAGCTGGGATAACAGGCAGGTGCCACAATGCCCAGCTAATTTTTGTAATTTTAGTAGAGACAGGGTTTTGCCATGTTGACCAGGCTGGTCTTGAACTCCTGGCCTCAAGCAGTCCACCTGCCATGGTCTCCCAAAGTGCTGGGATTACAGGCGTGAGCCACCGCACCCAGCCCCCAACAGAATTTTGAAAACTTAGGCACTGAACCACTTTTTTTGTGCTTTGCAACTAAGATAAGTCGCAAATTGTGACCAAGACTGATGTTCCTTAAATATAAGCAAGCATTCAACCCAATTTATTAGAAATGATATGTATACAGAAGCTACCAAAAACTAAAGTAAGTGTCTTCTGATAATTCCAGTTTTGAGAACATCCTAATTAACAAGCATCACAGCTATAAAGCAAGTTTGTTACTCTGTCACTGGTACTAATTAAAATTCAGACAAAAATTTCATGTGCGACTTGGCACACAGCCAACTAATTACCTTTAGTTTAAAGTTCTCCAGTACTTGTCGGAAAAGAAAAGGGTTACCTCCTTCAGCACCATTTAAAAAAGCTTGCATCCAATCCTCACAAAACCGGTTACTTCCTATAAAACATTTCAGAGAGACTAAATAAAATGAAATTTTACAAAGCTTTATTTATTTATTTCAGACAGAGTTTCGCTCTTGTTGCCCAGGCTGGAGTGCAATGGCATGATCTTGGCTCACTGCAACCTCCTCCTCCTGGATTTAAGTGATTCTTCTGCCTCAGCCTCCTGAGTAGCTGGGATTACAGGTGCCTGCCACCATGCCTGGCTAATTTTTTTGTATTTTTAGTACAGACAGGGTTTCACAATATTGGCCAGGCTGGTCTCGAACTCCTGGCCTCCGATCCACCTGCCTCAGCCTCCCAAAGTGCTGGGATTACAGCTGTGAGCCACCACGCCTGACCCATTTATTTATATATAAAACATCTATAATTAATTATTTAAGACTTGTATAATGGCCTAAAAAAAATGGTGTGCTCACCACATGGCTAAGGAATACCAAAATGGCTGAAGCCTCCTGTATGCCCCTTCCCAATCACATCCTCCTTCCTTTCCCATCAGAAAGCATGATCATTCCCACAGACGTCTTTAAACTTTTCCCATATACCTTTGTGTGTGCCAGCCTTATCTACATTATTCTGCATATGTTAAAACTTTTATGTATTTTTTCTTTTATGGTTATTTCACTAAATAGTATGTTTGAGAGCTATATTGACACAAGTAGCTCTAGTTCATTCATTTTCACTGCTCTGTTATATTCCATTGCATGAATATAGCAGTTTATCAGTTTTCCTGTTGATAAACACTTAAATTGCTTCCAATTCCTTCCTTTTTTCAAATAATGCCTTTATGGACATTTTAAAATTCGTCTCCTTGTGTACACATACTAGAATTTCTTTATGTACTAGGCATGGAATTGCTAGGCATAGCATGATTTCCATGTTTCTAGAATTATATTGTTTTCAGCAAGTGGTTTCTCATTGTTTGAGATAACCATGTAAAACTGCGCAAGGCAGGAAGAATAAGGTTGTATCATATGCTCTCAGTGCAAAGATGGGGACTCGCAAGAGATGTAGGAAGGCTGCTTCAGAGGTTGTAGCTCACCTGCATTGCAGAACTGAGGCTGGGAGCTGCTGCAATCGATGACCACAGACTTATGTTGCTCCTCTGTCATGGCCATGCACAAAGAAGTCATGGTGCCTTCATGAATAAGTCCTTGAAGACTGGCCACACTCAGAAACCTGCCACACACACAAGTCCATTTCCACAAACAATATTGCAGGACGGAAGGGTGAAAACAAATTTATTTTGCACTAGGCTGGTGGGGAAGGGATGGGAGGAGCAGTTTACAAACATAGATGTCAATCTTGCTGTGGAAAATCTTTTCTCTTTGAAAAAACTGTGTTCTTTACCTGTTAATGTCTGTCTTTGTTTTTTCATCTGATTCTTTAACTTCAACAGGAGTATAACTCAAAGCCTATGAGAGAAAAATGAAACCTGATTGGTATATATATTCCAGTTTTTCTTGAGCAGCTACTCATGACTAAATGTCCCTATAAGTCCCTACCACACTGGACAACGATTGACGGGCACTGGTCACAAACTCTCCAGAGCCTTGTTCAGCCACTGCTCATTAACATTTTATAGAATCAAAATCATTTTGGATTTTTGTTTACCTTTTCAAATTGTTTTGGAAACTATACCTTTCCCAGATGACTTTGAAAAGTAATTATTTTTAAATGTTTTATCCTATTAGGAAGACTTAGCATTTGAAATCCAACTCTACCTTAGTAATATCACTTTCTAGATCTGAGAAAATAAAGTGTGGTCTATCTTGATAGCAAGCGTAGTTTCAATATTTGGGGAGGGATGGGAGTCATACTCGGAGAAAATCAGTATGTTTCTAAATGATCCAAAGTGATTCTCAGTTAAGGAAATGCTCTCGTTTGGGCAGTACTTACAGCATGTAGCAGAAAGGTAAGCTTTTCCTGAAAGAGAAGAACAACCCTTTGGATTGGGCATACAACATCCTCAAACCAGCTGCTCAGATAGGACTTTCTGTGACTCTCCAGGCCCCTTTCCTAAATCAAGAAAGAATGCCATTTGCTTTAATAGAAGCCTTCCCTTTAGTGGACTTCATATTTTCTTCATCATGTCCTTGATGGTAAAAAAGACCAGGATAGATACCTCCCTTTTTAAAGCTAACACCACCAATTCAAAAAAAGAAACTGCGATATATCTTTCCTGGCTTGTTGGGCAGGGTGAGGATTAATTCTGTGCTGAATTTATTTAAAACACACCATTCTATAAAATGAAGAGACTGAATTAATAGGGTTCCATGCTATTTCTTCACAGGGAAGAGTTGGGCATTCACATGCCCCTGTCCTCCCACTATACTGTGCACTCAATGGAGATACTCAATAATCCTCATTTCCCCAGCACTTGCGGTACAGTGTCTAAAACATGTATAGTATGAGCTTATTAAGTGCCTATTGAATGACTAAAGGCATGTAGATACAGAATTCATTCGTATTCAGAATGTGAACAGGGAAGGATACAAGTAACTCATCAAAGCACTCTACCCCACTTCAGATGTCAGGCATGCTGCCATGAGCACATCTGGCTTTCTAGGCTATGCTGCTCCCTAAAGACCAGTGTCACACAGGAAGAGCTCTAGTCTGGGAGAACAGCTCTATTAGACTTGCATCCCTTGCTCACTCCTGCACTATCCCTTCCTCTCTCCTGCAGTATCTTCTAAGTATGTGAAAAGTAAAACTACTACTATATATATAATAGGTTGTAAATTTGTGAGAGTCATGACTAACAACTGCTACAAGCTGAAAGCAGTTTTTGTTTGCTTTTTTGGGACAAGGTGTCACTCTGTCATCCAGGCTGGAGTGCAGTGGTGCGATCATAGCTACTGCAGCCTCAACTTCCCAGGCTCAAGCGATCCTCCCACCTCAGCTTCCCAAGTAGCTAGGACCACAGGTGCGTGCCACCATGTCTGGCTAATTTTTGTATTTTTTGTAGAGAAGGGGTTTCACCTTGTTGCTCAGGCTGGTCTTGAACTCCTGGGCTCAAGTGATCTGCCCGCTTCAGCCTCTTAAAGTGCTGAGATTACAGGTGTGAGCCACCACACCCAGCCAGTTTTTCAAAGGTTTGAATAAGTTGATATGGATATGCCTAATTCATAAAAGATCAATTAATGAAAATAGAATGTTTTTAAGAATCTTTGATGTTGAGTTCAAGAACAGCCATACTATTGCATAGCATGTCTTTGTGCCAGAGGCTGCATGGACCACTACTTCTGACCATAACACAAATCTTATATGCCTAGAAATCAGGAAAAGGACATCCTCTTCCTCGCCAGGCATGTTACTACATGCCATTGAATAGATCAAATTTTTCTTTCTTTTTTTTTTTTTTTGAGACGGAGTCTCGCTCCGTCGCCCAGGCTGGAGTGCAGTGGCGCGATCTCAGCTCACTGCAAGCTCCGCCTCCTGGGTTCACGCCATTCTCCTGCCTCAGCCTCCTAAGTAGCTGGGACTACAGGCAACCGCCACCGCGCCCGGGCTAATTTTTTGTATTTTTAGTAGAGACGGGGTTTCACCGTGGTCTCAATCTCCTGACCTTGTGATCCGCCCGCCTCAGCCTCCCAAAGTGCTGGGATTACAGGCATGAGCCACCGCGCCCGGCTAGATCAAATTTTTCATAGATACAAAACATCAGAAGTAGTCTTGTGAAACTTTCAGCACTTACAGAACTATGTTCCCTGTATCCCTTTAAAATCACCTGTGCTGGGTGTGGTGGCTCACACCTGTAATCCCAGCATTTTGGGAGGCTGAGGCAGGTGGATTACTTGAGCTCAGGAGTTCAAGACAAGGCTGGGCAAAATGGCAAAACCCCACCTCTACCAAAAATACAATTATCTGGGCATGGTGGTGCATGCCTGTGGTATCAGCTACTTGGGAGGCTGAGGTGGGAGGATCACTGGAGCCCAGAAAAGGCTGCAGTAAGCCATGATCGTGCCACTGCACTCCAGCCTGGGTGATAGAGTGAGACCCTATCTCAAAAAATAAAAAAGAAAAAGAAAAGAAAAAAGAAAAAGAAACCACCTATAGGCCAGGCACAATGGCTTGCATCTGTAATCTCAGCACTTTGGGTGGCTGCGTTGGGAGGATTGCTTGAGGCCAGGAATCCTAGACCAGCCTGGGCAACAAAGTGAGACCCCCATCTCGACAAAAAATACCAAAAGTTAACCAGGAGTGTTGGTATCTGCCTGTAGTCCCAGCTATTTGGGAGGCTGAGGCGAGAAGATTGCTTGAGCCCCAAGAGGCTGAGGCTGCAGTGAGCCTGATCGCACCACTGCCCTGCAGCTTGGGCAACAAAGCAAGACCCTGTCTTTAAAAAAAAAAAAAAAAAGTCACCTCTCTACTAGCTCACAAAGTGGCAAGTTTCTAGAATATAGGTGTCTTTGTGTCTATATGATTTGACAAGTAGAGCAATCACAGTATATTAATCATTTCAGTCTTTATTTTATTTTTTTAATTCTTTTGAGACGGAGTCTCACTCTGTTGCTCAGGCTGGAGTGCAGTGGTGCGATCTCGGCTCACTGAAACCTCTGCCTCCCGGGTTCAAGTGATCCGCCTGCCTCAGCCTCCTGAGTAGCTGGGATTACAGGCACCCGCTACCATGCCCGGCTAATTTTTCCATTTTTAGTAGAGTCGAGGTTTCATCATATTGACCAGGCTGGTCTCTGACCTTGCGATCTGCCCACCTCGGCCTCCCGAAGTGCTGGGATTACAGGTGTGAGCCACTGAGCCTGGCCCCATTTCAGTCTTTAAAAACCATTAAGTCAGTCACCTTACCTCACAATTCATGTTATTTTTCAGCCCTTGAACGTACTTGTCCAATTCAAGCCTGAAAGTATGTTCTTAAGGAAGCAATAAAGGATGAATAATGAAGACAGTATTTTGTTTCTCAACGAGAAATATAAAATCTCTCAAATAATGTGAGCTGCAAATGCAAGCAAGCCAAGGCAAAATGGCCACATGAAGGTATGAAATTCAACTAAATACAAGAGGAGTAGAAAAGCTTTTTGGAGGTTGGTAGTAATAGTCTTCCACCTGCCTTCCCATGTTTTTCTTCCTGATGTTCTCAAAAACCAAAGAAAGGATATAGCTCAAGTCCTTTTTCAGACCCTCCTAAAAAACAGACCACATATTCTGAAGGGTTATGTTCAGAGTCTGTCGTTACTGTTTCAGGAAGCAATTTTTCATTTTGGAAAAGGCAGTAATAACAACCAACTCGGTAACCTGGAATTCTAGAAAAGAAAGAAAATGTAAAATGCATTATTTTGGTTACTCATGCATCTATAATTTTGTGGACTGCTCTGAATTTCGGTCATCTTGATCTGGCAACACCATTAAACTGCCCACTAACTCAGAGATTCCCAGACTTCTTGTTGGTGTGCTTGTAGCAGCAAAGAAGAATGAATGTGTACCCTGGAGGGCTTTAGTTAAAGCAGCCACTACCATACATGAAATTTCTTTGAATTCTCCTGTCTTACGTGAAGAATTCACACAAATTTCACTCTAGTTCATACCCACATTTATATTTTAAAAAAAAGCATGTTCTCCCCTCTCCCAAACTTTTACAAATTGATGTTTCAGGCAGATGTGCCTGAAGGTGGCCTCATCCTTGGGACGTGGCCTCAAACTCCTGAGGGAACCTGTATGCTAACTTCACGGCCTGAATTGAACTATAATTAAGAGGTGTAATGGAGGCTGGACGTGGTGGCTCACACCTGTAATCCCAGCACTTTGGGAGGCCAAGGCAAGTGAATCACCTGAGGTCAGGAGTATGAGACCAGCCTGGCCAACATGGTGAAATCCCATCTCTACTAAAAATATAAAAAGTAGCCAGGTGTGGTGGTGCATGCCTGTAATCCCAGCTATTCGGGATGCTGAGGCAGGAGAATTGCTTGAACCAGGGAGGTGGAGGTTGCAGTGAGCCAAGATCAGACTACTGTACTCCAGCCTGGGCAACAGAATGAGTCTCTGTCTAAAAAAAAGAAAAAAAAAAAAAATAGAGGTGTAATGGAAAGACAGTTGGAATTCAACTAAGAATGCTCATGTTTAAGCCTGAACTCCATCAATTTGACCAGCCTCATGACCTGAGCTTACATAAACTTCTCTGAGTTTATTTCCTCATCTGAAAATGAAAATAAAAGTACCTGCTATATTTCCCCTTTGTAAGGAAAACTACAAAAGTTTGTGAAAATACTTTAGAAACTGTATACAAATTTAGTTTTAATAATCAACTCTTTCTTCTAAGTACAAAACTTACTAGTCTGGGCAACATAGTGGGATGCCATTTCTACCAAAAAAAAAAAAAAAAAAAATTTAAAAATTAGTTGGGCATAGTAGTGCCTGCCTGCAGTCCCAGATACTTGGGAGGCTGAGGTGAGAGGATTGCTTAAGCCCAGGAGGTCAAGGCTGCAGTGAGCTGTAATCACGCCACTGCACTCCAGCTTGGGCAACAAAGCAAGACCTTGTCTCAAAAAAATAAGCTAATTAAATAAAGTGCAATTGCGTGCCAGGGTCTCTGCCATTCAATTAATTCCATTCCACAAATGTTTATGTGTGAGGCCCAGTGCTCGGGCTGCCAGAGAACAAAGACAAATTCTGCAGGCCTAGTAGGAGCTGATCTTTTGGAGTTTCTCATCACTTCTCATATTTAGTTCAGAAACAAAAACTCAGGACACAGCACATTTTGCACTTACTTCAGCTCCACAGATGCAACATTACCCAGCCCTTCAAAGACTGCACCTTTTGAAAGACGCTTAGCAATAAAACTGCGCAGCTCTGGCTCCACTTCAGATGGTAGATTAGTATCCGCCAAGGAGAGGCTTGACAAATGAAAGACACACATTCTTTACCAGTGGACTAGTGTATTCACACCCATTAAGTCAGACAGAATGGTACCAAAGCCAGGGGCTCTTTTAAGGACGGGGGAAAGCTGTCCTTATAAATCCTATTGGTGAAGCTCCTAGGAATGTATGTCACTAAGTATGATCTACCTCATCAAATAGCTTAAAATATTCCTATTTTTCCAGCTCATTCTCTCCAGTACTGTGACTCCACTGGAACCCCCAATCCACTGACCCTACCTCTTTTTCACAGTTTCTCAAGTTTCTCATCTCATTTCCCTCCTTATTCCACCTTAATTCCATGGTCAGTCATTATAATCACATCCCTGCACACATTCTTATCTTTTTTATCTTTCAACTTCATTGAGGTATAATTGATGATTTAAAATTTTGAGGGCTGGGACCGGGCGCAGTGGCTCATGCCTATAATCCCAGCACTTTGGGAGGTTGAGGTGGGTGGACCACGAGGTCAGGAGATTGAGATCATCCTGGCTAACACAGTGAAACCCGTCTCTACTAAAAAAATACAAAAAAATTAGCCAGGCATGGTGGTGGGTGCCGGTAGTCCCAGCTACTCGGGAGGCTGAGGCAGAAGAATGGCCTGAACCCGGGAGGCGGAGCTTGCAGTGAGCCGAGATCATGCCACTGCACTCCAGCCTGGCCAACAGAGGGAGACTGTCTCAAAAAACAACAACAACAACAACAAAATTTCAGGACTGGGCAAGGTGGCTCATGCCTGTAATCCCAACACTTTGGGAGGCAGAAGTGGGCAGATCACTTCAGTCCAGGAGTTCAAGACTAGATTGGGCAACATGGCGAAACCCCATCTCTATCAGAAATACAAAAATTAGCCAGGCGTGGTGGTCAGTAGTCCCAGATACTGGGGAGGCTGTAGTGAGAGGATCACCTGAGGCCGGGGAGGTTGATGCTGCAGCGAGCCAAGATCATGCCACTGCACTCCAACCTGGGCAGCAGAGCAAGACCCGGTCTCAATTTAAAGGGAAAAAAAAAAAAGGATTTCTTTCTAGCTAATCACCAAGCACAAGTATGTGGATTTGTTTGTCCCAGCCTTGAATGAACCAGCCAATGAGGAAATCAGGATGAGGTTCCTAGGGGACAGGAGGAATTGATGGTTTGACTCAGGGAAAGCTCAGTGGAAATAGAGTACCCACTGACATGCACAGGCCAGAGATACAGGGAAGATAAAAGCACATGCATGAATTACGGTGAAGCTCTTTTTACCTGAAATCATCACCAGAGGGAGTTTCTGCATTTGTGCCACTTGGGCTTCCGTCATCACTGTCCCCTCGTTGCTGTGCCAATCTGCAAGCCACAAAACCAATAGTGCTATCAATTGTGGGCTCTAAACCAAGAGGAGTATGGGGGCCTTGCAAGCAGGGTAAGGCAAGGAGTCAACTAAAAATGCTGCAAGGTGGAAGTGCACTGCCTATCCTCATGACAAGGAAAACCCATACAGCAGTGCTGACAAGAGCCCCTTCTCTCTCCAGGCCACCTAAGGGATGGAGGAAAGGCTAAATACCCAGAAGGTTCAAGGAGACTCCTTTAAAAACCAAACTTGACAGGGCCAAGAAGGTTCCAGGAAAGTCACTCAGGAGAAGGGAAAAGAGGAAGCAAGAACAGAGGAAAACCAGAGGGTGGGGACGGGGGTGTGTGTGACAGAAATGGGAGAAAGTGGGGAGTGGGGAGATAATGACAGAAAGGAGAGGGGACGGGAACTGAAATTATTGAGCGTGCGGGGCACTGCGCTAAACAAAGGGCAGCCGCAGAGTAAGGAGCTGGGATGATATAGGGGCAGATGAAGGGCACAGGCATGGTTGGGCCAGGCATACAAGTCCACGATGGGGGCTGGGAAGAGCAGCGTGAGGCAAGGAGCGCCCTTCAGGCCAGAGACCTTGGCTGGGAGAGGAGAAGATGGCTTTTAGGAGCGGCCGGGCCGCCGGGCCGGGGGTGGGGTGCAAGGCCGGGCGGCGGGCCGGGGGCGGGGCCGCAGGGGCAGGCGGGCTGGCAGGCCGAGCTGGGCGCCAGCACCTGCTTCCGCGGTAGCTGTAAAGACAGTAGTGGCTGCTGGACGGCGGCTCGAGTCTCCGCTCCTCGGCTGAGCCTCCCTCCTCGCTACTCTCTAGCTCCTTTTCATCTCCATCCAGCGATTCCTGCAAGGAGGGGAGCATCGCGACGGCCTCTGGGTGGCCCTGTGTCTCCGCCAAACCGCTCCCCTGCTGCCGTGCAGCCGTCAGTATCCGGGCTCGTCCGGCTCCCGGCTCTCGCACACCTGCGTTCCGCTGGTTTTCCCGGGTTCGCAGGCAAAGACAGCCCTGGAAAGGGAGGCTTTTCACCCCACAGGGGCTGACATGCGTACTGAGTTCGCCTTTACTGAAAAACTTTTACCATTTATTTTGAACTTATTTTCCTTTGAGTCGTCTAGGAAACTTACTATGTGATGAGGGTGGCACAACTGCCTAGCCACATGGAGAAGAATAAGGCTACTTGTCTGCCTCCTTGTTCGCGTGCCAGCACGCACAGACACCCGTTCGATAAAAAAGTTAAGAATTTAAAATGAATTTTGTTAAAGTGAAAATATGGGATAATGTTAATTCTTGAAGTTAAGGAGGTCTTTCCAAACATAATAAAACAGAAATCATACAGGAAAACGTTTTAAAAATCTGACTATGTAAAAACTAAAAGGCCGGGCACGGTGGCTCACGCCTGTAATCCCAGTGCTTTGGGAGACCGACGCAGGCGGATCACTTGAGGTCAGGAGTTCAAGACCAGCCTGGGCAACATGGTGAAACTCTCTCTCTACCAAAAGTACAAAAAATTAGCCAGGCGTGGTGGTTCACGCCTGTAATCCCAGCAGCCCTTCCAGTCTCTGCCCATTACCCAGTTCTAACACCAATTCACATTTTCAGGTGTTTGTTTCTGCAACACCCTATTCTCCAGTACCAGTTTTCTGTCTCAGTTCATTTTATGATGCTATAAAAGGATACCAAAGAGTGGGCAATTTATAATCACCTCTTAAAGGCCCCACTTCTTAATAGTCTTACAATGGCAGTTAAATTTCAACATGAATTTGGGAGTGGACAAACACTTAAACCATAGCACCACGTGAAGGAGGAGGCAGACTGCAGTGATGTGTCTACAAACCAAGGAATGTCAGGGATTAATGGTCATCACCAGAAGCTAGGAGAGGACATGGAACAGATTCTCCACTAGAGGCTTCAAGAGAGTATGTCCCCACCAGCACCTCCATGTCAACTTCTAGCATCCAGAACTGTGAAACAATACATTTCCATTGTTTTAAGCCACCGTGTGTGTGCGTGTGTTTTGTATTTTTAGTAGTACAAACTTTATTCATAAATAAAACTTCATAAAGTTAAAAGCAGGGGCAGTTCCTACTTTAAAAAGGGAATACTGGAAGGCAGCCTGCCATTTTATTTCAAATTACAAGTTAGGTTTTTCAGATGGATAACAGTTGAGATCATTAAATCCCCTTCCTGCTTCTCAGATTTTCACAAAATAGTACATTAAATCCTCAGTCCTAAGCAATCCCAGCAGAGATTCCAAATTGCCTCTCAATATCAAAGTGGATAGCACAGTTTCTTCTCTTGCAATAAGGGTACTCATTTGATGAACAAGGGAGTATAGCAGTCACATCTTAAAAGATTGTGTTGCAGAAGTTACTGCCATGTCTTCATTCACAATGTGTATCCTCACCTCTATCTCTCATTTAGTAACATTGTCAGTTTCCTTATCTCTCATTTCAACTACATTTAAAAGAGGATTCTAATTGCGGACAACACACGACAGAGGCATTTCAGATCGGACAGTAGTCTCTTGAGATACACTTGATTTTAGTTTTAAGCAGAACTTCCTGGAGAGGTTAAGTTACAATACCACAGTCACGAGGATGGTAGAAAAACTCATAGTAGATATTTGGCAAAACATAGGTTACAAAGCAACCACCTCCTAGAAACACTTCATCGGGGTTCATATACAAATTGTGAAATATCATGGGTTTAATCCTGGCACAGAACCAAAACTGGGTGCATTATACTTGAATAGTTGACCAGTCCCCAGCACAGGTCCATATCAAGGAATGGAGAAAAAAGAGCCCTTTTAACCCCAAAATGGTCTTCATTTGCCCGGACTGAAAACCAAATCTCACTCAGGAAACAGCTGTATTTTTATTTTTTATAGAGACAGGGTATCTGGAAAGAAAGAAAGAAAGAAACTAATACAGAGTCCCCACAACAACCCTTTCTTCTATTGCAATCTGGATTTCTTCACATTCTTCCCTGTTAATCCCATTTTTTTCTAGATTATGGTTTATTCTCTTAATTTGCTTTGATCAAATCAAGAGGCAGGAGAATCACCTGATCCTGGAAGGCAGAGGCTGCAGTGAGCCAAGATCATGCCACTGCTCTCCAGCCTGGGCAACAGAGCGAGACTACGTCTTGGAGGGGGGGAAAAAAAGAAAGAAATAGAATTTTAGACTGATATGATTGGACATTGAATTCTAGGTTGAAAAGAATTACCCCAGCTGGGTGCAGTGGCTCACACCTGTAATCCCAGCACTTTGGGAGGCTGAGGCAGGTGGATCACCTGAGGTCACGAGTTCAAGACCAGCCTGGCAAACCTGGTGAAACTCTGTCTCTACTAAAAAATATAAAAATTATCCAGGCGTGGTGGCACACACCTGTAGTCCCAGATACTCGGGAGTCTGAGGCAGAAGAATCCCCATGTTGGTCAGGCTGGTCTCGAACTCCTGACCTCGTGATCCGCCCTCCTCGGCCTCCCAAAGTGCTGGGATTATAGGCATAAGCCATGACCGTGACCGGCCCAAATCAGTCATTTCTCCAAGAACCTCAGGTTGCTTTTACTGGAGAATGGTATTATAAACCAAGACCCGGGGGCAAAGTATGCTTGCTATGGGGCATTATTGCTTCTAGGCCCTCTCAGCTGATAAGACAAGGAAATATATGTATCTATACTAACTTGAGTATATACCCATATCCATAAATATTTCTCTGTGTATCTATTTTAAAATAAACATGAGTTCATACTGGTGTCTCCAGCCCTAATCCATGGCCACATGGATCATTCTAGCCTCCTCCCCTTGCTTATCTATAAACCCACTACAACGAGAGGCACAGCATGGTAGCTCACGCCTGTAATCTCAACACTTTGAGAAGCTAAGACAGAAGGATCACTTGAGCCCAGGAATTCAAGACCAGCCTGGACAACAAAGCAAGACCTTATCTCGACAAAAAATAAAAAAATTAGCAAGGCATGGTGGCATGGCCCTGTAGTCCCTGCTACTTGGTGGGCTGAGGTGTGAGGATCCATTGAGCCCAGGAAATCGAGGCTGCAGTGTGCTACGCTTGCATCACTGCACTCTACCATTCTGGGCCACCGAAACCCAGCTAATTTTTATTTTCATGGAGAATAGGATATTGCTTTGTTGCCCAGGCTTGCCTTAAACTTTTGGCTTCAAGTGATTCTCCCACCTCAGCCTCCCAAAGTGCTGGGAATGATCTAGCCCACTAGGCCTTCTTTAATTTCTAACAGCATTTTTTTTTTTTTTTTTTTTTTGAGACAGAGTCTCGGTCTGTCGCCAGGCTGGGCGCAGTGGTGTCATCTCGGCTCACTGCAACCTCTGCCTCCTGGGTTCAAGTGATTCTCCTACCTCAGCCTCCCAAGTAGCTGGGACTACAGGCACATGCCACCAGGCCCAGCCAATTTTTGTATTTTTAGCAGAGACAGGGTTTCACCATGTTGGCCAGGATGGTCTCTCTCTTGACCTTAAGTGATCCACCCGCCTGAGCCTCCCAACTAACAGCAATATTTTATTGCTTTCATAGTAAAAGTATTTTAATCTGTTTGTGGTGCTATAACAAAACACTACAGACTGGGGAATTTATGAGTAACAGAATTGTATTTCTTTTCTTTTTTTTTTTTTTGAGATGGAGTCTCACTATGTCGCCAAGGCTGGAGTATAGTCGTGCAATCTCAGCTTACTGCAACCTCCACCTGCAAGGTTCAAGCCTCAGCCTGGGTTCTCCTGCCTCAGCCTCCTGAGTAGCTGGGGTTACAGGTGCCCACCACAATGCCCAGCTAATTTTTGTATTTTTAGTAGAGATGGGATTTTGCCATGTTGGCAAGGCTGGTCTCGAACTCTTGATCTCAGGTGATCCACCCACCTCAGCCTTCCAAAGTGCTGGGATTACAGGCATGAGCCACCACACCTGGCCAGCATTTTATTTCTTTTCTTTTTCTTTTTTTTACCCTGAGATGGAGTTTTGGTCTTACTGCCCAGGCTGGAGTGCAATGGCGCGATCCTGGCTCACTACAACCTCCGCCTCCTGGGTTCAAGCGATTCTCCTGCCTCAGTCTCCCGAGTAGCTGGGATTACAGGCGCCCGCCACCACGCCCAGCTAATTTTTTTTGTATTTTCAGTAGAGACAGGGTTTCATCATGTTGGCCAGGCTGGTCTCGAACTCCTGACCTCAGGTGATCCACCCACCTCAGCCTCCCAGTGTTGGGATTACAGGCGGAAGCCACTACGCCCACTGAATTTTATTTTCTTATGGTCTGGAAATTTGGAAATCCAAGATCAAGGTACTAGTACTCAGTGTCTGATGAGGGCATTCTTGCTGCATCCTCATTTGGTGGAAGGCAGGAGAGAGTAGAAAGTTTAGTTCCTTCCAGCACTTTAATAAACTCACTAATCCACCCATTTACTCACGATTTAATCACCTGCTAAAGGTCCCACCTCTTAATGCTATCACATTGGTGATTACGTTTCAAGCAGTTGGGGGAATATTCAGCACATTGCAATATGGTTTTGAAGTTTTTCATTTTTTAATTCATTTTTTGATAGAGATGGTCTCACTATGGTACCCAGGCTGATCTCACACTCCTGGCCTCAAGCCACCCTCCTGCCTCGGTCTCCCAAAGCACTGGGATTACAGGCTTGAGCAACTGCACCCAGCCTGAACTTCCTTTTTTTTTTTTTTTTTTTTTGAGACAGTCTCC